ATGACTGGAGAAAATCTTGCTATACTTTGGGCAGTTGTGCAGAGGATTGCTCAGTGGCAGGCTCTGGGACTGGACTGGGTGATAGGCGGAGATTGGAATTGCGACTTCTATGCCGTCAATGTCAAAGGTTGGGTCGAGAAGCTTGCAGGCTTGGCGTTTGTTCCGTCGGAGGCCACGTGCATTACCGACGCTGGTTCGTCCAAGATTGATTATTTTCTGGCCGCCAGCAATTTGGTTCCAAGACTCGACAGGCAGGCGGTGGTGATGAATGCCCAAGCCACCATTCCACCTCCACATTTTCCCGTGCAGCTGGTGGTCCATGGGTCGGACAGGCCCATGTGGTGTCGAGTTGCTGATGAACCGAGGAAGTTTCCCCCGATCCCACCAGTAGGATGTGCGAGGTACCCTTACAACTGGGACGGGATCAAAGGCATGTTTGAGTCGGTGAAGGCGCCCAGTGACTTACCGCGTGTGTGGGATGCAGTACTTGATGGCGTTGATTTCGAGATCGCTGGGAGATTTGACAAAGTCGATGGTAAGGCCCAGGAATTCGTTGGACGAGCTGGACCCCCGAGATTCAAATGGGAACAAACGACATGGACTCCACCTCGAAAGCGAGAATATCGAGACTCCAGGGTAGCTGCGTGGGCCACGGCAAAGCGTTGGGTGGCCCACTTGCGGTCGGAGAAGGATAAGCTGCACCGTTTCTGTGAGCGGCTCCGAATATGCAGTGCGGTGTGCACGTTAACCGAGATGCAGTACTTCAAGGTGCTGCAGGCGTTCGACGAGGCTGGGAGATATTGTGACAAGATTTCTGCTGAGCAGTGGGTGCTCAAGGATTTGGGTGAGGAGTTCAGTGAATTTCTGCAAAAAGGGTTGGTGATGATTGTCGATCCAAACTTTGAGAGTATCACTGATGCCATTTCCGCCCAGGCCGACAAGGTTTTAGGCCAGGAGCGTTCTAGAACGGAAAAGATTTGGAGAGAATGGGCTCGTGAGTCTTTCTTGGAAGGGGCCAGTCGGGCCCATGCGATGTCCAAAGTCCGAGCACAAGCTGAAGTACTCCAATATTGTCAGGAGTCGCAGCCATACCAGCTTGCTGACCAGACTTTGCGGCAGTGGTCCAAGGTATGGACGCATCATCGGCTTCAAGCGCCTGATCTTCCCTCGGATTCCAGTGAGTGGGACGCTCTTCCCCATATCTCTTTTACTGATGTAAGGAATGTGGTGAGGTCCTTTTCGACCAAGACAGCTGCTGGCCCTACGAGGTTGGCGCCGAGGAGTCTGGACGTCCTGTCCGACGGCGCGCTCCAAGCTATTGGCAACCTTTTCATGTTATGTGAACGGTGGTTGTGCTGGCCAGCAGATCGAATATACAGCGAACTCGTGCGACTGCCGAAACCCGATGGCGATCACCGATTAATTGTTCTGAGTAACACACTGATACGTGTATGGGGGAAACTCAGGCGACCGATTTCGAGGGAATGGCAAGATCGATATGCCTGCCATGAGATGTGGGGCACGAAATCGGGGCAGACTTCGAGCGATTCGGCATTCGACCACAATTTGCAGCAGGAGATTGCCGAGTTGCTAGGGGATAACACATGCACGATTCTTTTGGATATGTCCAAGTGCTACGAGATGGTAGACCCGCACGCTTTGTTGCGAGAAGGGAGAGCCTTGGGGTTCTCTATGCGATTGCTGTGGATGCTCGTGTGCAGTTACCAGCAGCCGCGAAGGATTCGCGCGTTTGGTAGCGTATCGGTTGGGCAGGTATCTTACCAAGGAATTTTGGCGGGTTGCACGCATGCTACTTTCCTCCTCTACCTGCTCACGTACAGGGCTGTCAGTAGAGCAAACCAGGTCTCGGTCACGGTCACGCCCCGCACCCTCATGGATGATGTCGGGCTCCAGTCCATCTCGAAGGCCCCTGAGGACCTCAAGTATCTGGCCATTGCGGCCAAGGGCTTCGTCCACGATTCCAAGGGGCTGGGTATGGTTTTAAATGCTGCGAAGTCAGGCGGGATCCCTGGGAAAAAACGTCTCTGGAAGACCGTCAGTAAGTACATGGGCTCCATGAAGATCCCGTTCAAGGCCCACATGAGGAACTTAGGCCACGAGTTGTCAGGACCTCGAGTTTTGCGTAGGATCGAGAAGCGTCGCCTGACCAGTTTTAGAGATCGCCGCCAGCGTTTCACCATGCTGCGAAGGGCGACAGGCAGGCGAGTGACATCGTTGTGGAGGACTGGGGCCCTGCCGTCAGTTGGCCACGGCGCCACTGTGGCAGGGGTGAGCGACTCGGCTTTGAAGGAGCTCAGGCTGTTCGCGGCGGTCCTCAATGGGGCTCCTGGCAGATCCTCCACGGGGCTCACGGCGTACTTGATCTCGCACAAGAACGACCAGTATGACCCCATATACCATGCGACGTTGCAGGTTGTGATTAAGTTTTCGGAATGGATCTGGGACTCCAGGGTTCAACCGAGCAGGCTCCACAGGGCCTGGGAGAAGCTCAACGAGAAGTTCGGGGGCTCGCAGAAGGCTTCGTGGGCCCAGGCCAGGGGCCCCATGGCGGCCACATGGCTGTCGCTTCGAAGGATCTCTTGGGACCTTGTCGCCAGCCACGTTGTTAGGGACGACCTAGGCCGAGTCTACGACCTCAGGACGCTGAGCCCAGCAGATTTCAAGCACTTCTTGACCGAGGGAGTGCAGAGGTGGCAACACGGCCGCCTCTTGCGGCATCTTTATACTGTGGGTGACGGAGTAGCTATTCCAGTCTGGCACAGGGCCCTCAGGTATGCGATAAAAGGGATTCGATGCGTGAAGCGTCTTGGAGCGATTCAGGCACACTGGGCCGACGGTATCCCTATACCTGCCAGGCTGGATTTGAAGGCTGGAGGCCGATTCCGTCCCTGCGCAGCTTGTGGTCGCCAGATCAACGAATGCTGGGGACACATTCTGTACGACTGCCCTGCTCTCTTGGAGGGCGACCCCGATGATGAATTTGCTGCCCTGCCTGAACAGCTCGTCGAAGTGCGAGATCGCCTGGTGAATTCTGGAGTCGGGGCAGGTCGTCCCGAATGGGACTACACATACCCTGTCTATGGGATCCCTGAGCTTCCTGTCGGGCTACCTCCGAGAGATTCTGTGAGTTCTGAAGTTTTGTACTGGGGCGATACCGAAGGGCAATGGGGGCCAAAGTCGTACACGGACGGTTCGGGGTTCGGGTCGAATGTGCCAGAAACCAGGAGGTGTGGCTGGGGCCTATGCCAGTTGGACCCCGACACTTTCTTGCCGAAGCGGGCGATTTTCGGCCCATTGCCGTATCTAATCCAGACAGTCGGTCGTGCTGAAAGATATGCTATACGTATGGGGCTGGTTGTTCATCCAAACCACGAGGTTTTCGTGAGCGATTTACTCTCTTTGGTGGAGGAGGGGAATGCTTGGATGGACGAACTTCAGCACGGCCGAAAGCAGCATGCACGTGTGTGGCGAGATATTTTTATTGCAGCTGAGAGGCGGGACAAGAAGCTGCCGCCTCCAGCATTCCAGTGGACCCCTGCGCATCGAGACATCGAAGCTGTGGTGTCGAGCGGGGCTGGTACTACGGAAATTCAAGATTGGCTCGGCAATGCCTGGGCGGACTTTTTCGCAAGAGTTGGCGCTGCTCAACATGCTGTCGCAAAGGTGACGACTGAGAGCGTGGCGTCCGCCCTGAAAGAGCACCGACTGGTTCTTCAGTATGTGTCCTGGGGAATCCAGAGGGTGGTGGAGTCTCAGAAGTACGGACGAGATGTGTTTCCAGGGCCCCGTCCAGTTGAGATTCGTGCGCCTGTGCTCTTTCAAAAAGCGGATGATCATGTATTGTACAAGAACGTCAAGACGGGCGTTTTCAAGTGTAGAAGGTGCGGGGCCTCAGCCCGCACGCCTGCATCCTTCGACAATCTGCGTGTGGGTGGGGGTCGGAAGTGTGTGCCCAGCAAGATCACCCAGGCCCTCACAAATGAGTTCTTCAGGACGTCCCTCGACGTGTGGGAGATGCCAGTGAGTGATGCGCGCGTGGCCGCTGCCCTCGATGCCGCTGCCGCCTTAGAGCCCCAAGGAGCCCCCGAGGAGGCCGAAGGAGGCCCCTCCCAGCCACCTGTGCTCGACGGGGCCTCTAGGGAGGATGTGGACCCCCTCATCCTGGAGTGTGGGGCTCTAGGGCACGATGTGTTCCGTGTTAATTCAATGTATTGCTGCCGTCGTTGTGCAGGGCATTGTTCAGTGTTGCAGGTTAATAGTCTCAGGAAGCTGAAGCGTGAGTGTGTAGGCCTCTCTGACAACCTCAGCACTCGGAGGAACCAGCTCAGGGCGATCGACAGGATCAGCCGTGGGCTCGAGCCACGTCAGCGAGGAGGGGACCCCGAGCCCCCGCCGTAGGCTGTTTTTTGGTCTGGGCCCCCAGGTCCCTGGCGTGTGTGGTCCTGGGGCCCCTCGCGTTTCCTGGTGTGGCCGTTTTTCCCTGTCCTTGTTTGTGCTGAGGTATGTCAGTCCAGCTGGCGTACTCTTGGTAGCCTGCACCCTGCATCCTCCTCCTCCCTCCTCCTCCTCCTCCTCCTCCTCCTCCTCCTCCTCCTCCTCCTCCTCCTCCTCCTCCTCCTCCTCCTCCTCCTCCCTCCTCCTCCTCCTCCTCCTCCTCCCCTCCTCCTCCTCCTCCTCCTCTCCTCCTCCTCCTCCTCCTCCTCCTCCCCCCTCCTCCTCCCCTCCTCCCCCCCTCCTCCTCCTCTCCTCCTCCTCCCTCCTCCCCCTCCTCCCCCTCCTCCCCTTCTCCTCCCCTCCTCCTCCTCCTCCTTCCTCCTCCTTTCCTCCTCCTCCTCCTCCTCCTCCTCCTCCTCCTCCTCCCCTCCTCCCCCTCCTCCTCCTCCTCCTTCTCCTCCTCCTCCTCCTCCTCCTCCTCCTTCTCCTCTCCCTCCCGGGCCCTGCGCTCGTCCGCCGCTCCATGCCCCGTCGGGGTGCCACAGGCTGCCCCCGCTGGTGTCCATTGGCGGCCCGCAGCACGCGCTGCCCGGGGCGGTGGACCAGACCCCTCGCCTGGAGAAGGCGCCGGCGGGCGTGCGGCGAGGGGCGGCGGGGGGGCGGCGCGGGGGCGAGCAGGAGGAGGAGGAGGTGGGTGGAGGAGGGGGATGGAGGAGGGGGATGGAGGAGAGGGAGGGGCGAGGCCAAGCTGGGCGCGCTCGCGTCATATCTGACGTCCTACCCCTCCCTCCCATCCCCTACCACAGCGTAGATCTCCTGTGTATTCGCACAGCCAGATGTCGAGCAGGGCAATGATGCCGAGAGGGTACGCGATGCATCCTAGAGCACGGTATAGCAGGGCGCAGAAGAGCACGGCAGAGCGTGGTATGTCATAGCATGGCGTGGCGTTGCGCAGTGATGGATTGCATCACAAAGCATTGCAACGCAAATAATGACATCGCACAGCGGCACAGAACAGATCATGGCATAGCATGGCGATGAATATCAAAGCGTAGCATGGCATAGCAAGGCGTGGTACTGCGTAGTCAAACACCACATGCGTTAGCATTGCAGCTGAAGGCACGGCATCGCACAGCGGAACACCACATAGCATTGCATTGCATGCCGTGGCATGGCATTGGAAATAATGACGCCAGCGCTGCAGCGGGAGCACGATTCGGAACGAGCCGAAACGCGTACACGAGGCATGAGGCCAGCGCTGCAGCGGGAACACGATTCGGAACGAGCGGGAGCCCGAAAATGAGGCCAGCGCTTTGGCGGGAGCAACATCTTGAAACCAAGCCGAAGCCAAAACCGCATTCCCGGGAATCTTGTGTGTAAAAATACGCGGAAGGGGGGCCGAACATCTTCCGGACGTCATTAGGGGAGAGAGGAGAGTAGTATTCATATTGTGTGATTGTGTAGGAAGAGGAGGACGACGAGGAGGAGGAGGAGGAGGAGGAGGAGGAGGAGGAGGAGGAGGATGAGGAGGAGGAGGAGGAGGAGGAGGAGGAGGAGGAGGAGGAGGAGGAGGAGGAGGAGGAGGAGGAGGAGGAGGAGGAGGAGGAGGAGGAGGACGAGGAGGAGGATGTGGAGGGGGAGGAGGATGAGGAGGAGGAGGAGGCGGAGGAGGAAGAGGAGGAGGAGGAGGAGGACGACGACGAGGAGGAGGAGGAGATTGAGGAGGCGGAGTTGGAGGAGGAGGAGGAGGGGGAGGAGGAGGAGGAGGAGGAGGAGGAGGAGGAGCAGGAGGTTGAGGGAGCTGGAGGTTGAGGAGGAGGGGAGCTGGACAGGCTAGGTGCGCTAGCGTCAAATCTTACGTCCTACCCCTCCCTCTCCCATCCTTTTCCACGGCGTAGCACGGCCGGGTGTCGAACAGGGCAATGATCCCGAGAGGGTACGCGATGGATGGAAAAGCATGGCGTAGAGGGCATGGCCGATCATAACATGTCATTGCATGGCGTGGCATTGCGTACTGAAGCAGTGCATCACGAAGCATAGCATCACAAAGCATGGCATCGCACAGCGGTGCACAACACAGCATCGCATTGCATGCCGTGGCATGGCACCAGATGACTTGGAGGGTAAGTGGCCCGTCTACGAGAGCACAGGGCCTGTCCGGAATGCCGTCTGCATGACCTCCGCAACAGTGCTTGCCCGATGTGAGCGCTTTCGAATGCCAAGTGCCGTCCGGTAGGGGTGCTGTAATTTTTCAAGCCCCCCCGGCTGCCCCGCGTTCCCAAGCCCACTTTCGAAGTCTCCCTGGGCTCCCCGGAGCACCGGGAGCTCAGGGAGACCAGCGGGAACGAGGCCAACGCTGCAGCGGAATCACGATTTCGAATGACCGAAGCGCGGAAATGAGGGCGGCGTTGCAGCGGGAGCACCTGCTTGAAAGAACGGGAAACGAACGGAATTGCAAAATCACACAGGAAAAACAATCAATGACATTTAGCGTGTAAAAGCGATACGTTGAGATGGCGGGAGACTCTCCGGACAGAGTCAGGGGAGAGAGGAGAGTAGGAGGAGGAGGAGGAGGAGGAGGAGGAGGAGGAGGAGGAGGAGGAGAAGGAGGAGGAGGAGGAGGAGGAGGGGGAGGGGGAGAAGGATGCGGAGCAGGTGGCGGGGGTAGAGGTGTAGGAGAAGGGGAGGCAGATAAGCAGGAGAAGGAGGAGATGGAGGAGGAGAGGGAGGTGGAGGTTAAAGGCTCCCAACTCCATCGTGAGCTGTTATGTTTAGCTTTGAGGTCCAGCGAGGTGCGGGGCCAAGGGGGCCCAGTCTTGACCTGGCCTCCCTCGTGGCTGTCAATTGCGCAGCCGTCGCAGCCTCGCCGCTTTCATGGGCTCCTGGGAGGCCCAGCAGAGCGCGGGGCTAAAGGGACAAAACCTAGACGTCTCATGTCGCCACCCGGGTGGCTTCCAACTGCGTGCCCGCCACCATTTGCGAGGGTTCCTGGGAGGTCCAGCGTAGTTGCGGGCCTAGAGGAGACCCAAACTAGACCTGGATTCCTGCTCTCTTGACTTGCTTCCTTCTCTTGCTCTTCGTCGTCCATCTGTCTGTCTCCTCTCCATGTAACATTCGTCAGTGCTGCCTCGAAACACTCTTATGGTTCATGGAGCGCGTGTGCCCGCGGAAGTGTGGCGTTCACCAAGGATCGCGCTCCTTGTCATCCCATCGGGCTCTGCGCAATGGCCCCCAGAAGACGGAACACGTCAAACCTTATCCGTCGTGATTTTCTCGCGACGCGAGGGCTTTCGGGTTCGGGATCAACCCAACCCGAGGCACATCTCGGGATGCGTTTTGGCCAGGATTTCAAAAGGGGACCCCGGCCGTGGCGACGAGGAGCCCCGCGGAGGCCCACGCCCAGGGAGGGCCGAAGCAACTTTGGGGCCCTCGATCGGACCTTCGAGCCTGGATCCTTCTCGAGCCCGGGAGGAGGAGGAGCATCGGTCGGGAGACCCGTCGGCCGCAGCCATACTTGTACCGTGTGGGCGTCGCTTCCACGGGGCGGCGCACACACCGACACACCCTGCAGCACAAGGGCCGCGGCGGGCGTGGTCTGGCCATGCTGCCTGGACCACGCCGCGCCGAGCTGGCGTGTGCTGCGTGCTCCCGGGCGGACGCTCGCCTCCACGGGGGACGCACAGTGCTGGCACGTCCCGCTGCATGCCTCCTCGTGTAGCATGTCCCGTTCGCCTCCGCAGCACCGTCGAAGAACAAAAACGGCATATTTCTGTTTGTTGGATTCCGCGCAGACCTCCAAGCAAACATGTTGATGAAGTTCTCGTCCTCCATCACTACTGTCAGCTTGTGATTAACAAAAGGCCACCCCCCCACCCCACCCGGGGCTGATGAATAGACCCCGCGGGGCGCGATATTTTTGTTCCATCACGCGCGCTAGGAGGCGCCGGCAGGGCGCAGGCGAGAGGTGGGACGGCGGGGACGACGACGACGACGACGACGACGACGACGGAGGGGGGGGAGGAGGACTACCCGCCTTGCTCGGGCCAGACGAAGGGCTGGGGAAGGAAAGGGGGGGTTGCAAAGCCTGCTGCGCGCAGCTGGTTTCGGTCGCCCCGCCGAAGAGCCAGTCCTTGGGCAGCCCATGGGGGGCGTCGCAGGAGGCGCTTGGAGCCCATGCATTGTAGGGGGACATGCCCGACCTAATTCTAGAGTGCGATGACGCCGACGCCTCGCCACATGTTCATGCACTGTGCGACCCCACTACAGTGTGTGGGGGTGCCCTCACAGGGGGGGAAGGAGGAGGAGACGAGGAGCAGCGGGAGGAGCAGGACGGAGGAGGGAGGAGGAAGGACAGGCTGGCGGTTCCGTGGCACGGACACCTCGTTGCAGGAGCATTTCGGAGTGCTCCAGAGTGCTCCAGAACGGCTGCAGCGTCCGATGCATTCTGCGGACTCGCTGGCCCTCCAAGATTACCGAGCTACGGGTACGGGGGGTGGGAGGGAGGAAAAGCCTCTTCCTCCCCCCCCCCCCCCTTGTACCTCCCACCGTCCTCCACCTCTTCCGAGGAGGAGGAGGAGGAGGAGGAGGAGGAAGAAGAGAAGGTGTTATAGGGCTCTAGGGTGGGTTGGTGGGGTCTGAGGGGCGATCGGCGGGGCGACGCTCCATGGCCGAAGCCCCAGGGGGGCTACCTTGGGCTCCGAGGCTCTTGGGCAGCCCATGGGGCTACCTTGGGCTCCGGGGCTCCCCATGGCCGCTTTCGGCGCCAGGAGGCGCTTGGAAATTCGGCGACGTGAGCTGCTTGGCAATTCCCCTCTCAGCTGCGCCCCACTTTCGTCCAGCCAGCCTTTGCCTGCAGGCCCGCATCGGTTCGACAGAAAATGCGGCGCCCTGGCTCGCCCTTGCCTCCACCCCCCCCCTTTGCCCCTCGTTAGCGGCAGGGTGTCGGCGCTAAGAACCGACGCCGCCCCGCTGATCTTCAATCTGGCGGGCGCCACCCCGCGATTCGCCCGAGCAGGGGAACTGTTTGTTCTAAACACGCGCCCCACAAGCTGACGCTACTAGCCCGCAGTTGCTAGCTGCTTGTTTTGTATGTCCCGCTGGTACGACGACGAGGCAATATTGCCAGCCTGAAGCATAATCCTTACCCCTGTGGTTGGCATCGCCTGATGCTGGCGCCGATCTCAAACATTCCTTCAGATTCTGAAGGCGCATCCTTGAGAATGCCATCGCCTTCGGCCTTGGCAATCTTAGGGATAAGGATAAGCTCGAGGCGGCTTAGGAGGTTCCGGGGGGGGGGCCTGGCCCTTGTGTGGTCCTTCATGGGAGCCTCACAGGGTTCCAGAATTCCTTGCGGTTGTGAGGACTTCGTGTGGATTTCGTCGGATGTGTTCGACATTCGAACGAGATTTGGGCAAACTTTGGACGAGAGGGTGAAGAAGTGGGGAGGTCGAAATCTGGACGAAAAGTCCGGTCGAAATCACTATTTGTTTTTCAACAGGGCCGCGGAGGTCCACAGGGGCTCCCATGAAGGCTAGCCCAACATGAGCTCGGGGCTTGTCAGGAGGCATGGGGGAGGGGGCCCAGCCGCTGTGACACCCGCGCGAGCCTGCAGAGCTCGCCTCTGC